ATGTGATTAATTAGCTTAAGTATATATAAAAAACTGAAATTGAAATTAAAGAATAAAGTAACAGCGATTACGAAATATATAACGGTCAATACAAAACTTCAAAGCAAAAACTTGGTAATTACTTTCAATTGTTTTTCATTTACCTAATAACATACTTTTGCGAAAAAGTCAGAGAAGGGGACAGTAAAGAAGTTTTCCAACAAGAAGAACAAAAAGCTTATTTTTTAATTAATAAAAGGAAATAATACAAGAAAGAGCTTTTTCTTGAAAGCCAGTTCGAAACTTGTCTGGTTCACATTAAAAAAGCTTTTTTTTACAGATTTTTTAAATAAAAAGAGTTTTAACAAAAAAATAAGATCTTTGGCTGAAAAAAGCTTTTGTCACAATAAAAATGTATTAATTAAAAGCTCTTTATTTAAAAAAATTAAGCTTTGTAAATAATTTTTCACACAACATATATAATGAATATTTTTAACTAACGAACTTCAAAAAGTTACTTCAAAGCTTTTAAATTTAAAAAAGGGAAAAGTAATCTTGTTACAGGAAAAAGACAACTTTTTGAAAGTTTTTTGATAAAAAATAACTTAAAAAAGCTTTTAAATAAACCTTTAAAAAAGGTTTTTTAATTAAGAAAAGCTTTTTTATTTTATTTTAAATTTCTTTATGAAAAAAGCTTTTTACAGATTTTTTAAATAAAAAGAGTTTTAACAAAAAATTAAGATCTTTGGCTGAAAAGAGCTTTTGTCACAATAAAAATGTATTAATAAAAAGCTCTTTATTAAAAAAAAATAAGCTTTGTGAATATTTTTTCACACAGCTTTTTGACTTAAAAGAGCTTCGTCACTTAATATAGAATATTTTTAACTAACAAACTTCAAAAAGTTACTTAAAAGCTTTTCAATTTAAAAAATGTTTAAAGCTTTAAGGCAAAAAATAATCTTGTTACAGGAAAAAGACAACTTTTTGAAAGTTTTTTGATAAAAAAATAACTTAAAAAAGCTTTGAAATAAACCTTTAAAACTTTTTTTTTTTATTAAGAAAAGCTTTTTTTGAGAATTTTAAAATAATTTTTTACAAGCTTTAAAAAAAAATATCTGTAAAAAAAACTTTAAAAAGGAGAAAAAAATATTTTATTTTAAATTTCTTTATGAAAAAAGAGCTTTTTACAGATTTTTTAAATAAAAAGAGTTTTAACAAAAAATTAAGATCTTAAGAGCTTTTGTCAAAATAAAAATGTATTTATTAAAAGTTCTTTATTTAAAAAAATTAAGCTTTGTGAATAATTTTTCACACAGCTTTTTGACCTAAAAGAGCTTCGTCACATCCTCAAAGCTTTTAAATTTAAAAAAATGTTTAAAGCTTTAAGGCAAAAAATAATCTTGTTACAGGGAAAAGACAACTTTTTGAAAGTTTTTTGATAAAAAAATAACTTCAAAAAAACGGTTTTAAGTAAAGCAGTTTTTTAAAAAAATTAAGGTTTTTTGATTAACAAAAGCTTTTTGGAGAATTTTAAAATAATTTTTTACAAGCTTTTTAAAAAATACCTTTAAAAAGGAAACAAAGTTTTACAAAAATATTTTGTTTTAAATTTCTTTATGAAAAAGAGCTTTTTCACAAAAAAAAAATAAATAAATGGGATTAATTATTAAAAGAAGCTTTTGGACAAATAATAATTTTAAACACATTTATCACAAAAAAAGTTTTTAATGTGAAAAATCTTTTTTGAATCAAAAAGCATTTTGAACTTTTTTTTATTAAAATAATAAGTTTTTTCAGCTCAGTCGAAATAAAACCATTTTAAAACATTTCTGCAAAAAAGACTTTTTAATTAAAGAGAGATTTTGTCATAAAAAATTTGTTTTTTTTTTTTTAAAGCTTTTCCATCAAAATAATTTTTCCCAAAAGTTTTGTTTATTAAAACTTTTTTACAAACAAGTTTTAATTACAAAAAGGTTTTTTTTATTCTTTTAATTAACTATAATTTTCAGAGTTTATTTAAATTATATTTCAAATTTAATATTTTTAGGTTCCCATAGTAATTGTTCGCACGAAAGACATGCGTAATTCCACGAATATATTTTTAACGAATCTCAGTATTGCCGATCTACTAGTACTATTAATTTGTACACCCACAGTATTAGTGGAACTAAATACAAAACCTGAAACTTGGGTATTGGGACATGAAATGTGTAAGTATCAGACAATCAAACTATATCCGACATTTAAAGTCGAAAAAATCTCAACAAATGTAAAACTCGTAAAATCTCAATTAAATTTATGTTCCTCCTAATATCAGCTTTATCTTCTTTAATTCTCTAGGCAAAGCCGTCCCCTTTGTTGAACTAACCGTTGCTCATGCCAGTGTCTTAACCATCTTGGCCATATCATTTGAACGTTATTACGCCATATGTGAACCATTAAAAGCCGGTTATGTCTGTACCAAAACTAGAGCAATATTAATCTGTTCCTTGGCTTGGGGTATTGCAGCACTATTTACCAGGTGTGTTTTAAATTCTTATTATTATTGTTGTTGTTGTTATTCTGTCTCATTTGTATAGATCATCATTATTCACGTTAACTCAGACTCATTGCACTCTTGTGTGTGATTGATCATGGTCATTATAATTTAAAATTTCATACTTGTAATTCATTGCATAATCGGTGATTAAAAATTAAAATAACATGAATATTCATAAAGACAATTTTTTATATGCACTGTGACTACTTCACCTTTAAAGAAAAATGTGTTTTTAAAAGAGGCGTTATTATAATTTGTATTTTAATAGATTTTGTTTTTGTAATCAAACCATAAATCTGTTTGTCCTGAAAATTTAATAACACCTCTTTTTTATAACTTTCTGTAAATCTGTCTACATACAATTACATTTCAACTATTAATTTTCAATCGACAACTATTTCTCACTATTACCGCATTAAACCATAATATTTATTTTTTTTTTATTTTATTATTTTTTTATTCTTGCATTTCAAAGCATGTAGTTTTTTCTTGTATTTGTTACTAATTTATTGTAATTCAGCTAGAGAAATGTTTTGATATTAGAATTGTTGCACAGTAGCTGCTGTAGTTAATAGTAGTTGTTGGTTTTTATTATAATGGAACATTTATTTTATTTATGGTTTATAGCTAGTTAATAAATATTGTTTATAAATAGTTGATTTTCTAAGAAATTGCCAGAGATTTTAATAGATTTCTCTATTGAAGGAGGCCAGGGCCAAAATTAAAATAAATCGGATACTTTTAAGAAAGCCTAAGTGCTACATGTAATAAACTGGATTAATTTTTATGTAACTTGACCTTTATACCCAAAGACAGCACATTCAATAATATGAATATCTGTGACAACTTTTATTTCAAAATAGAGGAGCAGAGCTGTAGACTAGACTATAGACTAGACTATATACTAGACTATAGAATAGACTGTAGACTATAGACTAGACTATAGTCTAGACTAGACTATAGACTAGACTATAGACTAGACTATAGGCTAGACTATAGACTAGACTATAGACTAGACTATAGACTAGACTATAGACTAGACTATAGACTAGACTATAGACTAGACTATAGACTAGACTATAGACTAGACTATAGACTAGACTATAGACTAGACTATAGACTAGACTATAGACTAGACTATAGACTCTATACTATAGACTAGACTATAGACTAGACTATAGACTAGACTATGGACTAGACTATAGACTCTAGACCATAGACTATACTATAGACTAGACTATAGACTAGACTATAGACTAGACTATAGACTAGACTATAGACTAGACTATAGACTAGACTATAGACTAGACTATAGACTAGACTATAAACTAGACTATAGACTAGACTATAGACTAGACTATAGACTAGACTATAGACTAGACTATAGACTAGACTATAGACTAGACTATAGACTAGACTATAGACTAGACTATAGACTAGACTATAGACTAGACTATAGACTAGACTATAGACTAGACTATAGACTAGACTATAGACTAGACTATAGACTAGACTATAGACTAGGCTATAGACTAGGCTATAGACTAGACTATAGACTAGACTATAGACTAGACTATAGACTAGACTATAGACTAGACTATAGACTAGACTATAGACTAGACTATAGACTAGACTATAGACTAGACTATAGACTAGACTATAGACTAGACTATAGACTAGACTAGACTAGACTATAGACTAGACTATAGACTAGACTATAGACTAGACTATAGACTAGACTATAGACTAGACTATAGACTAGACTATAGACTAGACTATAGACTAGACTATAGACTAGACTATAGACTAGACTATAGACTAGACTATAGACTAGACTATAGACTAGACTATAGACTAGACTATAGACTAGACTATAGACTAGACTAGACTATAGACTAGACTATAGACTAGACTATAGACTAGACTATAGACTAGACTATAGACTAGACTATAGACTAGACTATAGACTAGACTATAGACTAGACTATAGACTAGACTATAGACTAGACTATAGACTAGACTATAGACTAGACTATAGACTAGACTATAGACTAGACTATAGACTAGACTATAGACTAGACTATAGACTAGACTATAGACTAGACTATAGACTAGACTATAGACTAGACTATAGACTAGACTATAGACTAGACTATAGACTAGACTATAGACTAGACTATAGACTAGACTAGACTAGACTATAGACTAGACTATAGACTAGACTATAGACTAGACTATAGACTAGACTATAGACTAGACTATGACTAGACTATAGACTAGACTATAGACTAGACTATTGACTAGACTATAGACTAGACTATAGACTAGACTATAGACTAGACTATAGACTAGACTATAGACTAGACTATAGACTAGACTATAGTCTAGTCCATAGTCTAGACTACAGTGTAGTCCATGGTCTAGACTATAGTCTATTCTATAGTCTGGACTATAGTCAGGGCTATAGTCTGGACTATAGTCAGGGCTATAGTCTGGACTATAGTCAGGGCTATAGTCTGGACTATAGTCAGGGCTATAGTCTGAACTATAGTCAGGGCTATAGTCTGGACTATAGTCAGGGCTATAGTCTGGACTATAGTCAGGGCTATAGTCTAGACTATAGTCAGGGCTATAGTCTAGACTATAGTCCAGTCTAGAGTCTGAACTATAATCTAGTCTATTGTCGAGTCAATAGTGTGAACCTTATTTTAGTCTGTAGTTTTGACTATAGTCTATTCTATAGTCTGGACTATAGAATTATCGATAGTCTATACATAGTCTATACTAAACTGTTATCCAAACCCATACTTTTATTGTGAATTGTACAACAACAATACTTCTGCTTAAATTCTTCATCAAATAATAAAAAAAAAACTTGAAAATTTCCAATCATGTTCAACTACAACTTCCGTTTACTCTTCTAAAACATATTTCAAGCCGGAATTCGAACAACAAACTAATTTAATTAAGAAATTAAAAAAGAAATCGCAAAATATTTTTCTTCATAAAACAGTCCAAAATATAGCCTTCCACTTTTATTTAATTCTTTGCCTTTGTCATTGAATAATAAAAAATATTTTAGAGCTCATTAATGTCATTATCGCAAATCGTAGAATATCTGTTTTTGTTTTCTTATTTAGTTTAGTTTATATATTTGTTGGGAACTTTTTGTCTACTTTTTTATTAATATTGTCCTGTTTATATGCAAATTTTATAAAGGCCCGCAAAATAAGTAGAAAACGCTAAAAATATAACACAGAAAAGTAATAGTAATAAAAATAATGTAAAATAGTAAAAATAAATTTTAGACAAAAATATAAAAAAACTTGTAGCTACTAGTATTTATTATTAAAAAAAAAGTAATAGTAGTTAGATAAAATTCATAATAAAAGCAAACCTTTTACTACTACACTTAGGTTAAAGGAAATGGTTTTTACGAAGTTAGGCTTAAAAGTGTTTCGAAAAATAGGTTAAAATAAAACTTAATTTTTGCTTAAATATTTAACATACTTTTTAGCTTAACCTCGTTTTTGTTTAAATATTGTTTTGGCCCTGAATATGATTAAAATGACAAAATTATATTTTTTGTTTATTTGGTTTGGTGTTCATTCCGTTTTTGTTTTTTTTTTCTGTTGCTTATCAAAGTAATAATATCGACATGAAATTAACAAGCTGTGCTGCTGCCACTTTTGTGTTCTACTCCTGCTGTTAAGTTTGGTGCGTGTGTCGTTGTTTTTGCTCAAAATACAACACATAAACCCTTATCAGACATTGACACTTTTTTGGCTCCTTTTGTGTGGTTTTTTATTTATTCCCTAAATAAATATTTTAAATTTATTTTAAAAACAATACAATATTCTTGTAAAAAAAATATAAAATCTTTTAAATTAGAAGTCACAAACAATATAAAATTATGTTTTTAGGTAAAAAATCAAAGATTTTTGAACAAAAAGTGTATATTTTATTAGTTTTGGTTTGGGGCATAAATACACTTTGATTACCCTGCAGTCCTTGAATCATTAAACTATAAAACTGCAAGAATCTCATATTATATTTTACAACTTTCTACTCAAAGTTACACGTTTCTTTTTGTCTTTTTTAGACATTTACCATTCTCTTAATTTAGACATTAACTTGCGATTTAATAGGTGAAAGGTTTATAACATAAGAAAAGTTTAGTGATTACTTTGCTTGCAGAGGATTTTGAAACTGCTGCCTATATAGTGGACTGCAAATTGTATTATTTCTGTTTGATTTACTTACGTCTGATTTTTGCAAATAGGGAAAAAAGTAAGAAAAATGTAAATAAGCTTACTTCAGTTGTAAAATGGTAAAGAGGGATACCCCAGGGCCTAAACGCAGCAAGCTTTAAAATATGTCTGCAGAAGAAATGTAAAAGAAAGAAATAAAATAAAACAAAAAATGAGCATGAAAATGATATTATTAGTAATTCTTAAAAGCTTCTTAGTTTCATATTACAAGAATGAAAAAATAGAAAAGAAAAACGTTAACCATCTGCTTACGCTCTCATACGCATTGCTCACAGTTTTATCATATTCTGCCGTCTTCACTAGCAAACAGTATTCGCTAAATTTAAGGGGGCAAAGGTGGAAAACTTTTAACAATTATCCAATAGTTTCCCAGATAAACGCATTTTTGTATTTCATTCTTATGGGAGGTGCCACTCCCCTTACTTTCCCCTAATTTTTATATGAGAGGTCCCACGCCCCTTATTTCTAATCCGCCAATTTTTACCAAAATGTTTACATTAATGACAAAGTTGTTTAAGAACAATTGTAGGGTTCTAGCTGTAAGTGCTTCCCAGATATACGCTTTTTTGTGCCACGCCCCTAATTGGTAAACCGGCAATTTATTACCCAAAATGTTTACGACAGTGTGAAGGTTCTTGTTTCCTAGTTTGACGATTCTAGCTCCAATAGTTTTCCAGATTTACGAATTTTTATATTTAATTCATATGAAAT